TTTGTAATATAATAATAATAATAATAATAATAATACTTTGTAGTAGTGCAGGGTTCATCCAGGTCACTATGGGAAAGGTGTTAAGAAAAAAACAAAGCTCTGTAGGAGACAGTGCCTTGTAGTTGGTGCCTTTTGTAGTGCTGAACAAATACTCTTTTGATATAATCTTTGATGCACTTCTTCTGATAGCAACATAAAAGAAAAGTTGTAATTAATAGTCCACTGGGAAAGAGAAGCCATGTTTATCAGAAGCTGCTATGTTTTGTCTGCCTGCCTGTATAAATTGTCTCCCGAGTTTAATTTTGATGCATTTTTTTTCCCCACTTTTTGTATTCAACTCCTGTGGAGATCTTCGTGCTTTAGGATTTAAGCCACTCTCTAACTACTGGACACCAGATTTAATCTGGGCTGTAGATTATCTCAAATCTGCCTACTGCAGCCAGTGTTACACCTTTCTGTGAAATAGCTGGAGTAAGCCACTGTCAGGAAACAGGATGCAGGACTAGATGGAACTTGTATCTGATCCAGTCTGGCAGTCCCTGTGTTACGTGGCTGTATTTTGGTGATTAACAACCTGAGATGTGTATGTGCATGCATGTATGCACTTAACATCATCTTATGTCTGAAGTGCTTTCATTAGAGCAAAGTAAAAGTTTTTAGGATAGGGAATCCATTTGACTTTTTTCCAGTGCTTTCTACATGTTGCAAAATCCAAGTATTTATGGCCTGATGATTCAACAGGCATGGTCATAAGAAGACATGTAGGGTTAAACAAAGTTAATAATCTTTGCATTGTTGCCTTGTGGAGTAGCCAAAACATCAGACCCTGGGCTATTTTTTCTGGAATAGCTTGAGTTACTGAATTGCATTAAAAAAAACTAACATTAAAAATCTGTGTTTGTTTTCTTCAGGCAGTGTGCAATATTGCTCCGCGTGGTGTATATGTTTGTGGTAATACCACCACCAGCTCTGGCCTGACTGTAACTCTGTCTAGAGATGGCACCTCTGGAGATTTTGCTTTGGAAGCTGGTGCTCTAGTACTTGGAGATCAAGGTAATATGCTAAGGGCTGTGGGTACCTTTTTTGCACAATATTTTACTTCTGATTTAAATTGGTGTGTTTTTATCTCCTTTTAAATTTACTTTTTAAAATCTGAATGTTGTGATGTTAAATCTAAGGGTTTACAATGATGCTGTCCTGAGCTTCCAATTTCAAGCTAATTCTCTTTAATCAATTTGTTTTCAAAGTTAATATTTTCAAGCATAAAACACGTCTTAAAAGATTTCATATAGATATTTAAAATGTTGATCCTCATGCTTTGCTGGTCTCCTCCAGGGAGGCTTCCTTTGGTGAGACTTAGAAGTCATGATGTTCTCCACTGCCTTTATAGAATTGATTCCTTTGGAGTTTAAGTGGCATTCTCAGAAGATTAGATGTTTAAAGGAAAGCTCTTAAAATCCATATACTAATGTTATTTAGAGATCTCAAAAAAGAGCTGGGTTTTCAGTCACTGAATGTCCCCTGACTGTAATGGGAACTGCTAAGTTCTCAATGCGTTTAGGCACTACATTTTTTTTTTAAGTTAACCTAATTTTTCTTAAAATTATTGGATTCTGCAGTACAGTTTGACAACAAACAGAAGCAAATGTATTGCTCACAAGGTTGCTATGAGCATGACCAGTTATGTCCCTCTCTGTAATACTTGCCCATTCCAGACTTGCATGTTGATCATCAGTGTACCAGAGCCAACCTGGAAAGGAAGCTAAGCTGAGGAGAATGTGAGCTTTAACACCCTTTGCAGCCATTAGAGTTTGGATTTACCTTGTGGTGAAGTATAGTTTCAATAGTATGAACCTGGCCAGTGATCTGATTGCTTTCTGATTTATCCTGTATTACATTTCCAGGTATTTGTGGAATAGATGAATTTGACAAGATGGGAAGCCAGCATCAAGCTTTGTTGGAAGCAATGGAACAGCAAAGTATCAGTCTGGCCAAGGCTGGCATTGTATGCAGTTTGCCAGCTAGGACATCTATTGTTGCTGCAGCAAACCCAGTTGGGGGGCACTATAACAAAGCCAAAACAGTATCTGAGAACTTAAAGTAAGCACTTTTCAAAATGTTAATTAGGTACCTTGCAGCTACTGGGGTTGCTGCAAGATACCTAATTCAGTCTGTTGATTTTTTTTTTTCCCTCCCTCTGGTTTCCTGGAGAATGAATGTGATTTTTATTACAATATTCATTCTTGATCATTTGAGAGAGAAACTGCTTTTTTACTATGACTTTACTACACTGGGTAAATTGTTATGTCTTAAATCCTTCTTGAGAAGTAGAGCAATAGGATAAAGATGCTGTAGATTTTCATTTTGTCTGTTGTTTTTGTCTTGTAGAATGGGGAGTGCCTTATTGTCCAGATTTGACTTGGTATTTATCTTGCTGGACACCCCAAATGAAGATCATGACCATTTGCTTTCTGAACATGTAATGGCAATGCGGGCTGGAAAACAAGGAGTACGTAGCAGTGCTGTAATGACTCGCACCAATATTCAGGATCCTAATACCTCTGTCCTTGAAGCAATTTCAGAGAAACCACTAGTAGGAAAGTTAAAGGTGGGATGTTCTGTTCAGATTTTGTTTCTTAGCTCCCCATCCTCTATCTCCCACTGAAACACCAGCTTGGGGGTGCTGAATCTCTCAGCAGCTATCTTCTATATTCCAAATAGAGAACAACTCTAGCCTAGCGCATTTTGGAAGGTTTAGCAAAAGGACCCAATTCATAGAGTTCCTGTTGTTTGTTGCCATAATAACTCCAGCAGGTTAGGTGGTGGCAAGTTATATCAAGGAGGTTGTCACATATGCCCAGTTTTTAAATGTTTTATACGGTTTCTTCTCTGCGGGGGATGGCGCTTCTTCCTTTTACTTGCCAATGCTATCATTAAACTTCTCTGCACCTTCTTTCCTGCCATTCCAGCTAGTGAGTCCTCCATTTTTTTCTCTTTATTTTCCCCCTTTCATCCCTTCTCGTTTATATATTCACCTGCCCCATTTCAAGTCCACTTTCTCCCCTAACTAAAGAAACAGTTCCACCACTTTCCCATGTATTTGGTCCTTCCTTTTGTGTGCATATCCTTGTCTGTCATTTGGATTCACCATGCAGGATAGACCTCTGTCCCTTTCTGGCTCAGTCACAAAGACCCACCTAAAGGGAACTCGCTGCAGTATTGGGGTCTAAAGGGAAGGAACAATGTGTTTATACTGCAGCAAGCAAAGCAGGGCTCCTACTTGTGACTCTTTGTTCTAAAATCATATTTTCCACATCATAATCTTAAATGCCACATTCATTTAGTATGTTTCTAGGCTATATAGTTTCTGTATCATTCTTCTTCATTTTTCAGGTTTTTTGAGAATGGGACTCTTGATTTTTGCCAAATCACATTTACCCTTTCATTTTTCTTCATTGCAAGCTAGAAATGTTTGCTGTTTCCTTTGAAAGTAACCAAGGCAATATTTATGATGTACACCCAGCTTTAATTCTAAAAGTTCATAGGTGAAGGACTGGTTAGTAAATATGCTAAAGCACTTAGTCCCATTTCTGGTTCTTTTTAAATGTTTATTCTATTTCAAGTACAGGGTGTATGATTTGTATTTAAAAATATTATGGCATGGTGCTGTATTGCAACTGTAATCGATGAGCACAAGAGCACTGCTTGTAATTGACTAGGTCTTGCCAGGAGAAAACTTTGATGCCATTCCACACCAGCTGTTGAGGAAGTATGTTGGATATGCCCGGCAGTATGTCCACCCAAATTTATCTCCAGAAGCTGCGCACGTCCTCCAGGAATTCTACATTGAGCTCCGGAAGCAGAACCAAGGGCTAGACAGCACACCAATCACCACAAGGCAACTGGAGTCACTGATTCGACTTACAGAGGTTGGTATCTACTGCTGTCTCTTGGAGGTGTTTGATATGCCATGAGTTTCTGGCAGGTAATATGCTGGCCCATTTTTAGCAAAAGGGAAGATGAATGTTTATAGAACTGCTTCCTTAACTTGTTCCTATCTCAGCAGGGGAAGGAAGGATGGCTTGGTGATTAAAGGTCATGGTCTGAAACTTAGAAAACTCAGGTTCAATTCCCTGCCCTATCATTGACATCCTGTGTGACCTTGAGCAAGTCACATAGTCTCTCTTTGTGCAAGTTCCACCAGATTATTTGTGATCTGCATTTCCTGTAAAACAGCACTAACGTGACATTGGTACAGTGGATACAAAATGACTCTCTGGCTAGCTTGCTATTTAAGCCATCCACAAGGAACAACTGGGGTGTGCCTCCTTAAGGGCATCAAGCTTTGAGCTGAGCAAAGGAAGAGAAGTCAAATCACCCACCACTCCAGAGGAGTTATAGTATTTGGCCTACTCCTATTCCCTGTCTGTTTCAAGTAGAATGCTTTTAGTTTCTTGTCTTCAATCCTTCACAAGTGCAATAAATACAAGTGTTGCAATGGTCTTTCCACTTTCCTTATCATTGTGGTCCTTGACTTGGAGGGTTCTAGAGTGCATCAGAGTTTTCTCTGGCAAGAGGTTGAATGTGGAGTTATACAGTATAATTTCATAAATCTGGAATTATCAAAAATCTGGCACTTGCCCTCTCTACTCTGGGACCAGCCACCACTTCCCCCCTGGTCCTCCCGGATGCAGAAGGGGAAGCTTGCATGTGGCGGCTGCCGCCACCATTCACCACCCTGCGCTGCTGCTCCACTGTGGCTGCTGCTCCGGGTCCAGCCACTGCACCAGTTTAAAAAGTAGTGCATTTTCAAATTTCTGGCAAGTGCTGGGTCCTGAGCACGCTGGATTTATGAGGTTATACTTTAATATAAATCATTGAGTACATCTGTCTTGTGCCTCTATAGTCAAGAAAGGCCAATATAGACAATAAAGTGTACACAAATTTCTAATTTATTTTCTTTTTTTCCATTTTACAACTAGTATACCTTTCAGCTAGGACTGAGTAGAAGATAAATAGATGTTTCAACTTGTTTAGCCTTCACATCCATTAGTCTGTCCTTCATTGCCTAACATAATTTATTTTGGTGCTCTATAGTTCTAGCAGAACTAGTAACCTGAAGCAGCATTTTTTTTATCCCAAACTATTTCTAAATCCTTTGCAACTAGGAAGACAAGAGTGTTCTAGTCCTTGCTTACTGACCAAAATAGCAAGTAACAGTGCAACTTGTGCAATCAGACTGTGATGACTTTTTTTTTTTAAGGTGGCTGATTGCAAGATGCATATAAAACTGGCGAGTTGTTAAGGAGCTGGGGCATCTTTCTCCAGGAAAGTCTTCCCAGACTCTGAACTTGCCCAAGCCTCATAGATCCTAGCCACTTCACTCCCTCTGCTGTGTACCTGCTTGTAAGAGGCAGCACAGGATTGAGAGATACTAACCTAATTTTCAGAAATAAAATCTCTTGGAAGATGTGGAGAGGGGCATGTTTCTTTTCCTGCCATGGCTTAACTGTTAATGTCCATATTTTAATGTTGTCTTTTAATGGGTTAGTTATGGTTTGGTGCTATCCAGAGAATGCAGTGTTATAAAGCAAATGATTTCCAGGCACCAACCCACTAAGATGGCATTGAAGGGGTGAAGTATTGCTGTTCACTGATAACAGAAGGTTGTTATTGGTGTTATTATTCATACAGAAATGCCATAAAAGAATGCAGGCATCTCTGTTTAAGTCCTGCAGGATCATGTTCCAGGACGTAGAGTTTGTTGCAACTAGTGTGCCTGAATGATGGACTCTTGTGTTTAAGGTACTGTGCAACTGAATTGTTATATATGATTTGGTTTTGGTTTTTTTGAGGCACGCTCAAGGCTGGAGTTAAGGGAAAAGTCAACCAAAGAAGATGCTGAGGATGTTGTAGAAATAATGAAATATAGGTAATGTACGATGTTACCAATCATGCAAAATTATGGTATTCATTTAAATAATATCATTTTTCTTTATGCAACCAAGAGAATGATGAGACAGTATATTCAGGCCATAGGTATGCATGTGTAAACTCTAAAGCTTTTGTTTTAAAAACTCTTTGCAGCGTCAGCTAAATAAGGTGACAATATAATTGTACAATACTGTTATTTGTTAATTTTTCTCACTTAATGTAACATGGCTACTATGACTATAAACAACTTGTAAAAAATGCCTGATGATCAGCAGTTTAGAGAAGACTGTATCATTTTACCTGTTAGAAGAGATGTACTCCTAAGTATTTTCCTATCTTGTTGGCTGACTGTTACTGTGAATTCATGCTGTGTACCAATTAAGTCTGGAGGTGGTTCAGATAAGCCACATAGCTAATAGCCTAGGGCTTTGATTTATTACTACTGGATGGAGTTGCACAGTTCGTAGGCCTCTAGATCTTGAGCATACTCTTATGCTTTGGATAGAGTATCTATTTATTTCTGCCTTTACATGATTTTGATTCCAGCGTGGTTGTGTTTTTTAGCATGCTAGGTACTTACACTGATGAGTTTGGAAAATTGGACTTTGAACGTTCACAGCATGGTTCTGGGATGAGCAATAGGTCACAAGCCAAAAAATTTGTCTCTGCCCTGAGTAGCATTGCAGAAAGAACCTACAACAATATATTTGAATTTCAACAGCTTCGGCAGATTGCAAAGGAATTACAAGTAAAAGTAAGTTTATTTTAACTTCTCTTGAGGAAATTTAAATGAAATAAAACTCAGAAACAGTAGAGCAGTGTCACATTTCACCATTGGAAAAGGATGAGTGAACCACATTTTTTCAGCTCTGACATCTGTTCATGACTCACTTCTATTGTAAACTGCTTCTAATCTCATCAGCCTTTTTGACAGCTGTAACATATTGCATCAGCAAGCACTAGCTTTGCTGCTGCTATTGAGGTTGGTCTGTGCCTTGTTTGCAAAAGACAGGTTTGATTTCAGCATGTTTTACTTCCTCTTTCCATCTTCCTGATCACCATGACTTAAGCCCCAAATTGTTGCCTGTTGTGATGAAAATGTATTTTTGTTTTTAATGCCTGCATTTTTTCATTCCTATTCCAAGCTTACCTAATGTATTAATTAGAAATGAAGCAAATCAAAAATACATAAAGCAACATACAGAATTTCTTTTCTGATCTTCAGCTTGTATTACTCTGTCTTGTTTGTTTTCTTCATAAGTGAAAAAATTAGCTAGCCAGTTGCACTTTACAATACTTGATGAAATGTCTCAAACACTAATAGAAAGATATATATACTTTTAAAATCTCTTTAAAAATGTTCTCATTGCGTATGGAAAATAAAGAAAAAGTAATATGTATTTTCACAAACTATTAGCGTGGGCATTGTTCTTCACACTGCCTTGCTAGCATATATCAGTCTTAAGAGTTGAAGTGGTAGTAGTGAGAGTCACGTCTGGACAAAACACAGTAGTACTACTTCTACAGGAGAAGGAGGGAGGGACTCGTACGTGTGAGTGAGACCTTCCTTTACTGGAGCTGTATCTCTTGAATGCCTTTGAATTATGAGACTTGTTTGGCAACAGATTTCTATATTTTCTCTCCTTTTTAAAACAGTCCATTGGCAAAAACACTCTCCTTTTTAAAACACTCCCCTGGCAAAAAAAAATTTCCTTTCATCTTTCATGGAACATGGATTTAAAATTGCCATGTGGTAAAAACTGGAGATTGTTTGTTTCTTTTGGGGGGGTTGTTTATTGAACTTGTGTGCTATAAACTGAGAAGGGATACACTCAAACTGTATTCAGTGTCAGCGGTCTAGTAGTTTGCAAAGAAGTTAAATCTTGAATAGGGTACATATAGGTGTTTGAGGAGGTTGGGGGGGGTTAGATCAAGTTTAAAAATGGTCGTCCGATCTAACTTAGTTTGCCCAGTTTGAGCCCAGGTGTAGATGTTACATTTAGATCTCTAGTTAGGTTGATCTAAGTGCAAACTGTACAGAAGTTCCTGATGGTTACATTTGGCCTAAAAAAATGGCAAGCTTGATGTTAAGTTAACTTTACCTCCAAGGTAGTCTAACTTAGATTGGGTTGGCAATCTAACTGAACTTCTGTACAGTTCCCAGTGTAGCCCTGGGGCTGGGAAAATCCAGCCCTAGCCACCCCCGCCCCCCAGGTGCTGGCCAATTTTGAGTCCTCTGGCCCCTTGCCCCACCCCCAGATGGACCCTCCCCATGTAGACCAGTCAGTGCCCCCTCCTCCCCAAGCCACCAAATCCCTGACCCTGCAAGGCACTCCCAGTGCTGGTGTTGTTGGTGTTCACTGGTGCTGGAAGCCAAGGAAGTAAATTGGGGTGGGGGGAGGAGTGTGTGGGTGGGTGGAATGGGGTGTGGGTTCCCTTGGAGGGGTTCAGGGGACTAAAAATAGCCCCTTGTTGGGATGTAAATGGATAACATAAATAATGGGGGGGGGTGTTACCAGATTTGCCCATCACTTTGGGGTGTGCTCATTTATTAGGGATACATTTCTAAGATCTTTGTAATTCTATCAATGTGCTGCTTGTGTTTCTATATGGAGCTGTATCTCTCCCTCCTGCAAGTCAGCTGTAATGTGGTGGCTGGGTTCCTCCAATGACCTAATCAGGCAGGCAGGCAGAGAGACACATGCCTGACCCAGCTGGGTTGATCAGCATGTTCAGGCTGACACCCTCATATGCCAGGAATCAGTTCATTAAGGTAATAATATGCGGTCAGACACGAGCACACAGGTGAACAGAATACCTCTGAATCCAGCTGCGTGTCCAGCTGACACCCTCATGAGCCAGCATTCGGTTTATTAGGGCACATCTGAACCAAACTGGGTCATTCAGCCTGTACAAGCTGATCCCCTTATGGGTCTCAAACTCGGCACGTCCCAATCTTTTGCCCTAACTGTCTTAGTAGTGGTAGCCTCTTGATGAGTGGACCCCACAGTATTTCTGTGCCTCACAGGGATCTTTGGCTTAGGTAAAAGAAGCATTGCTGCAAAGCAAGTGGGGAAGGGAAGTAGACAAGGAAAACTACACCCAGTTAAAAGTTATTTATTGCTAAGTGTGTGAAAAGTATAATGGTACTAGTAGTAATGGACATGTAAGGAAAAACAAACAAAACAATTACAATATTACCTTGGTTTAATTGAGTATTTGGGGAAATCTAGCTCAAGCTTAACTAATACAATTTAGGTTCAGAAAGCTATGCTTAGAGAGAAGAAGAGAGAGAGAGAGAGAGCTGGAATCTCACCATTCTAAGGCACTCAGGTGATTTGTTGACAAGCAAAGTTCCCAGCACGATTGTTGAAGGGAGATGATCTGTTTCTTCCAGCTTCTCAAGAACAACAGTGCATGGTGTCAGAGAGATTTTTCTCACTTGAAGGAAATGCTGCTTTGCAGCTTTCTTATACCCTTAGTCTAGCCTCTTCAAAGCATTCTTTTAATTGTGTAAATCAAGAGGGTCCCAAGCCATAATTGACAGAGAAAATCCTGTTACATGAAAAGTTTAAATTTAAATGAATTACCTCTTTCAGTGACAAGGGGTTATCTGGTTTGGAACATCTCAAAAAACTGATTAACAACCTGGAAAAACATTAAGCTTTAAGGAGTAACAAGATACCTAGGAGTCAGCTTGAAATTATTATGAATATACTGGAAGGGATGATCTCAGATGGCCTAGCTATGCTTGCACTGTGAAGTCAGCATCAGTGTTTTATATTTTTACCTGTTGTGAATAAGCCTTAGCTTAGCATGACTCTCAGATTTTACTGTAGTTTTTTAACAGATTTAAGGGTATTGATTACTTGGAGTGTCCATGAACTTTGTTTGGTGGGAGGACTTCCACCAGTCATCCTGGGAAAAGTATGACAGCATTTGTGGTCAGGGCTCCAACGGGCTGGGTGCTGTGATGACTCCTTAACCATTGTTCAAATGTCACCCATACCCCCTCTGACTCGGTCTCTTGCCTCAGCATTCCCTAACCTGGTGACCAAGTTTTAGTCAATCAAGTTTAAATAGGCCTCCCATACTGGGACCAGGGAATGTATGGCCTGAGATGCCTATTAAACTTTTTTCTTCTGCTTTGTTCTGGTTAGGTGGGGGTGGGGAAGGGGAAATAGAAAAAGTCCTTTGTAAGTTCAGCAAGCTGGGTGCCAGGGCTCCCTCAGGGAACATAGAGCTGACAAGTAACAGGGGTGTTGTTCTGAATAAAACTTACTGTTTTTTTTTTCTTTTAGGTATCTGATTTTGCCAGTTTTATTGGCTCTCTCAATGATCAGGGTTATCTTCTGAAAAAGGGTCCACGAGTTTATCAGCTTCAAACTTTGTGAAAGAACATCCATAACAATACTTGATGCCCAGTGCTTGTATCTGAAGAGGATTAATGGACATGCTGCAACAGGATTCCTGTTACAGTACAACTGGCAGTCTACCAAGGGTACTCCTGTACGTACTTTGCAACTAGCCTTGAGCATCAGTAAAAGACAAGAAGTTCCCATGAATACTGTCATTTAAAAATAACCCTTTAAGAATGACTGACTTTCTTAAAATACTGCCATATGACAAGTGCTGCCATGTGACAAGTAGCGTAGGACTCCAAATCCAGATATGAGTTGTTTGAGACAGGAAGTCTATCAGCATATATGCCAATTATCAAAGACGATAGGAAGAAAAGATTCTGTATTTATATTCATTCTATTAAAAAAACAGTAGTGGATTTTATTGCAGCTTGAATAACCTATGAAATTTGGTGCCATTTCAATAGAATATTGAAATGACAAAGTTTATAGTTATATAGTTAAATCAATTAAACAGTCACAGAAACTGATGGAAAAGTTTTCAAGAAATGGATAAATAATTTTTAAGCTGAGGCACTGTATAGTTATACCAGTTAATTAAAAGAGATTCTTTAATGTAATCTACTTTGGCTGCTTAATATTTATGTGCCTCTTTACCCGGGTGTTTATTTAAAATATTGGCTCTGGTTAAAAAAGTTAAATATTGTATTGTAGACATGAGAGTGCTTTTTCTAAACATATTTCATTAAACTTTAAAGACAAAAGTTGGTTTTCTATTAGTTAAGTGACATTAAATGTTATACATTGAAAAACGTGGAAATTAAAGCACTTTTATGATAAATACAACATGCATTTTGTGCATTGATTTATATTAGTTTTGCCATGCTTTAAAAAGAAAAGTAGGTGGGTGTGCTTACTGACTGGTGAAATTTCAGTTGTACATGAGGATATGGATCTGCACACCCATCTGTCTTAAGAATCAAGGCCTAACACAGAAAAATGGTAAATGAAGATGTTTCCAGCATTAGTCTTCATTGAAGTCACGAGTTTTTTCTTAACACTTTATTGACTTGAATTTAGGACTGAAAATCTAGATCAGTTTGATTTTGTTTTTGACAGCTTCTCCATATTAAAGAAGCGCCACGTACAGTATATTTTCTGGGTTGACACTCCATAGTCAAAATTTGACCTAAGATGCATTCAATTTACAGGTATCATATATCTTGAACTTCATATCATGTTGAGGAAACTATGCAACATTTTCATGTTCAAGTTTTCAGTGTGATTTTTTTTTTTTTTTTTTTTTATACTTGGCCTATTAATTTCTGTAGCTTTTTCCAGTACTTTTAGTCACTTGTGTGCCAGTACAAATATACTGTACTTATTTTGCAAGGTATCCAGAGCTGAAGTTTACCTCAAAGTTAATTGTGCTTTAATTCATAAAATAATTTCTCAGTTGTGGAATGAAAGAACAGAATCAAAAAATAATAACCATGAGTTCATTCAAGATCTGATCCGACACTCATTAGAATTAATGGAAATGCTCCAGTAAACATCAGTGGATTTGGGGCTGTATACTTGTAATTACTTTGCTTAATCCTTTCTAATTAAGGATATTCCCATTGAAACTGCCTGAGCTGTACTGAAAATTTCAGAGGATCTTTAAGCTACTCAAGATTGCTTCAGTGTGAAACCACTTGCCAATACTTGTTTTCATAAACCACTTATCTGGGTGAGATACTTAAGGCAAAAATATGCAACTTAATAAAATACTCTATATTATTTCCTAACTATTAACTGGCATCCAGTTTCAAATGTAGCATTTGGACATCCCAAATGTGCTTTGAAGGCCATGAGAAGGGAGTACCTCGTAGCAGATTGAGTATCCTCATAGCCATACATGATATGAAAGCTTACCATTACAATGCCCAACAATTATTGAATAGGAACTATCTTCCTCTGTTGGGAACATTCCTAGCACATTAGGATGCAAGCTCCCTCTCCAAAACCAAATAAGCTGTAGCACTGAAGCTGTATTTTCTGCAGGCACCTAAGCTCTCAGTCCTGCATATACACATATTAACATACAGCACTGATACCTAGTGGACTGTGTGCGGACTTGGGAGACCTGGTTCTCATTTCATTTTGTTGGTCTGCTGGGTAATCTTGGCCAAGTCACTTCACTGCCCTGTCCTTTGGTCTCCCTAACTCTAAAAGAAGATATCTGTTTTCTCTTGGGGATGTGTACAGTGTATAAAGTTAAGTATGTGAGTAAGATCTGGCCACTGGGTGTATAGTTTCTACACTGGGGAAAAGCTGATGTTGCATACAGCAGAGAATAATATGTTGCTGGAGGTAAAAATTCCACATTAATGCAAAATGCAGGTTGCAACAGTCCAAATTTTGAAAAAAATATTCCTATAGAATTGAGAGAAATTTATCTAAATGGAGAAGTCCAATGGTAACTATGAGTGCATCGATGCAGATCTTGGGGGCCAATACTGATAGCCGATATTTAAGGAGGCATATTGGCCAATACCGATCCGATATCCTATACAGCTGCCATCAGGTGGTAAGTCCAGTGTGGTGGAAGGGGGAGGGAAGGGGCGTGTGGGGGCAGATCAGTGCCCCCTGCGGTGAGGGAGGGTTAGGGACAGGTGCTGCCCAGCCAAGGTGGGAGGGGGGCACGGGACAAAGGCATGGCTTATGGGGTGGGGGCAGCTCCTGCCGCTGCTTGCATGGGGGGGCCCTGGATCTGCGTGGCAAGGTGCAGGCTGCGTGGAGCTGGAGCCAGCACTGAGAAGGGCTTTTCTTGCTGGGGGCTGGGCTCAGAGTGGGCTCTGGCAGCGCTGGGAGGAGGCTGCAGCCACCCCAAATTTTGCTGCAGCTCTGCTCCCAGCCCCATACTGTTTCTCCCCGCAGACCCGGCTGAACGCCTCACCTCCATTCATGTGCCAGGAAAATCCCAGGCTGTGGTGCGGAACTGGGAGCAGAACTGAGGCAAAATTTGGGGTGGCTGCAGCCTCCTCCCAGTGCCACTGGAGCCCGCTCTGAGCCCAGCCCCCAGCAAAAAAGGCCTGCGCAGAGCTGGCTCCAGCCTGTGCCATGCCACAGAGATCTGGGGGCACCCCTCCCCCCACCCTCCTGGGGTGCAAACAGCAGCAGGAGCTGCCCCAACCAACAAGTTGCACCTCCGTCCAGTGCCCCCCGCCTGGGCCGTGCCTGCCCCTGCCCCTTCCCTCGCCCCGGGGGTCATTGATCTTACCCCTCCTACACCCCTTCTCTCCCTTCTCCCCTTCTAGTTTACCAGCTGGAGGCAGCTGTGCAGAGCATGCGCATTTATTGGCCAAATTATTGGCCCCATTGGGCCAATATCTGATGCAACAAAGTTTCATAGTTTTATAATTGGTAGGGTCAGAAGGGACCTGAGCAGATCATCAAGTACGATCCCCTGCCATGGCAGGAAAAAGTACTGGGGTCAAATGACCCCGGCAAGGTGATTGTCTAGCCTTGTCTTAAAGACCCCCAAGGTAGGAGCCAGCACCACTTCTCTTAGAAGTTGGTTCCAGATCCTAGCCGCCCTGACAGTGAAGTAGCACCTCCTGATGTCTAGCCTGAATCTACCCTCTGCCAGCTTGTGACCGTTATTTCTAGTCACTCCTGGGAGTGCACGGGGGAACAGGGACTCACCCAATGCCTGCTGGTCCCCTCTGACTAGTTTGTAACAGGCCACTAGATCCCCCCTCAGCCTTCTCTTGTGGAGGCTGAACAGGTTCAGGTCCCGTAGCCTCTCCTCGTAGGGCCTGCCCTGCTGCCCCCCGATCATGTGAGTGGCCCTCCTCTGGACCCTCTCCATGTTGTCCACATCCCTCTTGAAGTGCGGCACCCAGAACTGGACACAGTACTCCAGCTGCAGCCTGACCAGTGCTGCATAGAGGGGAAGGATCACCTCCTTGGACCTGCTCGAGATGCACCTGAAGATGCAAGACGAGGTGTGGTTGACCTTCCTGACCGTGTCCCCACACTGCCAGCCCATATTCATCTAGGTATCAATGATGACTCCAAGATTCTTTTCTGCCTCTGCACTGACAAGAAGGTCGCTCCCCAGCCTGTAGATATGGTGCTGGTTCTTCCTCCCCAGGTGCATCACTTTGCACTTGTTGGTGTTTAATCCCATCCTATTCTCATCTGCCCACCCCTGTAACCTGTCTAGGTCTGATTGCAGCCTATTCCTCCCTTCTAGCATGCCCACATTCCCCCACATCTTAGTGTCATCAGCAAATTTGAACAGGCTGCTTTTTACCTCCTTGTCCAAGTCACTGATGAAGATGTTGAACAGTGCGGGCCAGAGGACCAAGCCCTGGGAGACCTCACTGCCCACATCCCTCCAGGTCGAAAATGACCCATCCACCACCGCTCTCTGGGTGCGGCCCTCCACCCAGTTGGCGACCCAATTGACTGTGTGGGTGTCAACACCACAGCCCCCAACTTTCTTAATGAGAACGGGGTGAGAGACAGTGTCGAAGGCCTTCCGAAAGTCCAGAAAGACTGTGTCCACTGCTGCCCCTGCATCTAAGGATTTGGTGACCTGGTCGTAGAAGGCCACCAGGTTGGTCTGACAGGACCTGCCTCTAATGAACCTGTGTTGGTTGCCCCTAAGCATAACTTCCCCTGCTGGTCCCATGTGGACATGTGCCAGGATAATTCTCTCAAAAAGCTTACCCTGGATCAGGGTAAGACTAACTGGTCTATAGTTTCCTGGGTCCTCCTTTGTCCCTTTTTTGAAGATGGGAACTACGCTGGCCCTCTTCCAGTCCTCTGGCACCACACCAGAGCACCATGAGTGCTCGTAAAGCTCTGCCAGGGGTCCCACAATGACCTCTGCTAATTCCCTCAGTACTCTGGGGTGGAGATTGTCCGGACCAGCTGATTTAAATATGTCCCGATTTTCTTGATATCAGTACCCATCCGATATTGGACTGATGTATTGGTGCACCTCTAACGGTAACCACTAGGGGGAGTAAGTTTTAGCATATTCTTTCTGCATTGCTTCTACAGTATTTTAAGCAGCTACTCAGGGCTGTCCAAGACCAACTTATATGGAATGAAAGAAAAGTCCTCAGTGTGGCCCACTGATTTGATATTTCATCCCATCAATAACTGGCAGTTAGCACTGCATTTTTGTTTCTAGAGCTATTACTATGACGGACTCCAGTTAAGTAAAAAAAAAACAAACCCTTTGACCATACCTCCAAACACCAGTTGGATACTAGACTGAACACGCTTGTTTGTCTGCTCTGAGGATTTTTGCTTCTGGAGTTCATTGTAGCTGCCCACAAAATTCTACAGGTAGCTGTTATAGTTACTGAAGTCAGATAAGGAAAAAAGAGTAGTCTTTTATAGCTTCTGTCTATACCTACAATGTTCAGAAATATTTTTCTTCCTTTTTTGAGTTATTTCCACTAGTTAACGGTTGTATCAGGATAGGTAAACTTTTTTTTTTTTAAAGATTATTCATTCTGAGTCTAATGTAAGTAAGAGCTGGTAATAATCAGACTGCTTTGCTGACTGTCCACGTAATCTACAGAAATGTTAGCAAAACATTTAGCAAGAACACCTGGTGTTTTCTTTGTAAGGAATCTTAAGAGGACAAACAGAATACAGGAGGTAAGAAATAAGCCCACGTGTTAGCCAAGCAATGCCAGAGACAGCTTTGGCAGCTGACTTCTGGCAAGAGAAGTGGAAAAGGTCAGATCGAGCAAAGTCATTTGAAATTGTACTGCATGCCAGCCTGCTAGACATATCATGAATGGGACATTACTGCCCGCATCACTGTTATTTTTAAGTGGGGCAGGACAAGATACATCCTCAACCTACCTAAACAAGAGGGTCATCTGTCAGGTAAGACTAACCAAAGATTATGGGTGTGAGGGGGGAGCTAACTGGTTCTAGACAACTGGAAGGAAGGAAGTGGTTGGAGGTAGAAAATGGGGGGACAAGAGGTAAGCAAGAAGGAAAAATCTTTTAAACCTCTTTAACAGCAAGCACAGCTACAGGAGATGCTAAATCCACAATAGCCTAGTTCTGTGCATTTGCGCATCCTGCAAAAAGCGTGCTAACGTATAGTAGATTTAGTCTAATGCATGTTAAACATCACAAAAAAGGTGCATCTGCACTAATGTGCCGTAGCAGTCATTGCGGTGCGTTAAGTTAGCACCTAGTACAGGTACTAAACTTAGTGTGCCATAAACCCCAGGTGTCTTTCCTGCCTAGACGCGATGGTCCCGCGAGGTCCCTTCCAGCCCCGTACCATCTATGCATCCCAGTGCAGTAATGAACGCGTAGATGCGCCCAGCGGATCTGAAAAGGTTGCTTAATTGAGACGTGTTGCCATGTCCAGCTTGTGTGCTGAAAGATGACAAATCAGTTGCAGGGCTTTCACTTCTTTTTATTCCCTTGTTCCTTTCTGGTGCAGAAGCTAAACCTTCCTGCGCCAGCCCGCACTAGGAAGGGATCGCCCTTCTGAAGGCGGGGCTCCTCTCCGGGAGCGCTGTGCTCCCCAAGCTCCGAGGACCGCGGGCGAACGGACAGCCAATCACCGCCCGCGTTCCGCGGCGGGGCGGGGCCGCACAGGGTGCATGCGCATTTAAGACGGGCGGGGTGGGGCTGGGGGCTCGAAGGGTGAGTGGTTATCGTAAAGTCGACCCCGAGCTGTCGTGAAGTGTCGCACGCGCCCCCACCTGGCGCATGGGGCCCTGGGCCGAGCCATGGGGAAGCCGCCC